TGACGCAGAGACAACCCGGGTGCTCTTTGTAAGCCAGGCTCCTTGGAGAGACACACGTCTCAAACAGAGTGCCCGGGACCCCGGTCCCCGAGATGGACAGCCACGTGCAGCCTGTCCTGGGCACGTGCACTCCTGACCACCGGGCTGGGTCTCCCTGCACGTCCCTGCAGGCCAGAGCGGCGGGACCAGCCCCCAAGGTCAAGAGCCAGGATGGCCGCCAGCACCAGGGGTCCGGAGCCCCTCGGTCGGGAAGAGGACCCAGGCAGCCCCCCGTCCTGCACTTGTCCCTGGACTGGCCCAGGCAGCGCCCTCTGAAGTCCGGCTGGGCTCTGGAGGACTGCAGCCCGGCCCTGAGATGACCCTCAGGCTGGCGGGCCCCCGGTCCCTCGACCATCCTGCTCCTGATGACCTCACCTGCCCTGGGCCGGGGCCTCTCCATTCCGATGGCCACGAGGGCCCCCTCCCGCCACCCCTGCCCCAAAGCCCAGGGCACCCGGGCTGGGGCTGCTGCACTGACGCCCCAGGAGGGCAGCTGGGCCCGGGGCTGAAGGGGAGCCGGTCCTGACTGTTCCTGCCCACAGCTCTGTCCCCGACCCCCGCTGCGGTGCCCCGTCCCTGGGCACGCAGGGACCAACAGCAGTTCTAATCCAAAGGGAAGGCAGCTTGGTTTTTTTGTTTTAAACCTTTGCAACAGTTTCTTTAAGCAGCAAATTAATCCTGTTTTCTCGTGGGTTTGATTGCATGGCTCCCCACCATGCCCGCCTGTCTGTGTGCCAGTCATTCTTCCAGGAGCCGAGAGTCGGGACCCACACCAAGAGCCCCCTCCCACAGTATTTGGGGTGCCCCCAGTGAGGCCGGAGCCTAAGCTCCGTCCCCCACCTGCCACACCCCCGAAAGGCTGGGCACAGTGGCTGCAGGAAGTGAGTGGGCCTCCCAGGGGAGTGGGTCCCTGGGAGAGCCGTCCCGGGGGGGGCCTCCCTCACTGGAGTGGGTGAGGAAGGCTCCCTGGGGCAGGAAGGGCTGGGCAGGGCCCGAGGGAGCCCCCGGGGGCCCTTCTGGCTCCAGGTCCAGCTTCTCACAGACCCCTCGCAGGAGCTGCTCTGCTCAGAGGACCAGCCGGCCGGGCCTCCCCTGTGGACGGGGCACTGACGTCTGGCCTTCATGGGGACTGGGGGGTGGTGAGTGTGGCCCCAGGAGCCTGTCAGGCCCGGTGTGTAACTTCCTGGGGCTCGGCCACCCCCTGGCCCTTGCGGCCTCTGGTTCCACGGTCCCTCCGGGCCCCCAGCAGCCAGCTCGCCCTCCGGTCACGGCCGCAGCCACCCCGCTCCCCTGGGAGGAAGGTGCAGGTCAGCACTTGCTGTGGAGCCGGTGGCCGGGGAGGACGGGAGGGGGGAGGTGACAGGTGTGCAGGGGGCGAACTCGGCTCTGTCACCCAGCCCCCCCCCGGCCCCGTTCCTCCAAAGGGTGGGGATCACACCCCCTCCAGGCTGGCCTCGGGGTGCGGGCGTCTGCCTCCTCCTCACCGCCCACTCGAGGTCTTCTGGCCAGATAGCCCATCTCGCCTACCCACCCGGTCACAGCAGCCTGAGTCCCCAGCTCCCAACCCACAGCCTTCCGAAGCTAGAGCAGCTGAGGAGTCTGCACTGGGGCCCTAACACCAGGGGCAGGGCCCACGGGGGCTCCTGGGCCTGGTCTCTGGGGTCTCCCGAAGTGTGGGCATTTCTGGGCTGGACCCACCTCAAGCAGAAGAAAAGTAGAGAGGCAGGACCCAGCCCTTGGTGGCCTGGCCGCCAGCGCCTTGGGCTGACAGCTTAGTTCTGCGTGCCCTGTGTCCTAGGAGGAGGGGACGTAGTGGAGGCTGTGGAGGTGGGGCTGGGGGCTGGGGGGCTTCCCTGGGACAGAAAGGAGCCCTCGGATGGAGAAGTTGCTGAGTGGGCCTCCACGGGCCCCTGCTCAGGCTGGCCAGAGGTCGTGAAGCCCTGCAGATCCCCTCTGGTCCTACCGTCATGGTGCCACTCTCCCTGTTTCCATGGCAACCTGGGAATGGGAGGACCACGGCTATCCCATCCTTCAGGTGGGATCTGGGACCGCTTTGCTAGGCCAGGGGGATGCTGAAGGCGCCTGGGGAGCCTTCAAGTCCTTGAAGGTCCTCTAGGGGAGCAGCCTCCCCTTGCCCCGCTGCCTGCCAGGGAGGCCGACGTCTTCTCCAGCCCTCGGAACCCCTCGGGGTCTGTGACCTGGCCATGCAGGGCGTTGTGATTCTGGACATAGGCCCAAACCCTAAGGAGGCCTGGGCTTCCCGGTGGGGGCCAGCCCAGGCATCTGGGGTGATGGGATAGGGCTCTTGGCCCCTGGGATGACCAGCGTCTGTGCCCCCTCAGTCCCTGTGCCCCCTCCCCTGCGCTGCCCGTAAAGCACACCACACAGGGCCCCCTCCTGCCACCTGCCAGGCTGCTCTTGGGTGGGAGTGAGGGGCAGAGCCCTCACTGTGGGCCTGCAAGTCACCACGAGTGGCCCCATCTCACGGCTGGGGCTGCAGGGGCGGCAGGGGCTGGGGCATCCCAGGGGTCCCCTAGCCCTGTCGGTGGGCTTAAAGGCCCTTCTGCTGTGGTGTGGTCCCCCTGCCGTACCAGGAGCTCTCCCTGTTCTGCAAGGCTTTTCTTCTGATTACAAAATAGCCTCTGTTGGTGGCAGAGAGTTAGTAAAATAAAGAAAAGCAGAGAAGATAAGAATCTCCTGCAGCCTCCCGCCCCCGTGGGTCTGCTGTGTGTGTCTCCCTGCGTGACTCTCCTGGGCATTAGCAGATGCTGGCCCTGCCTTCCTGGCCTCCTGCCACCCTGGAGGCTCTGCCCGACACTCCCCCCTTCACCCTCCCCTGCCCCAGGGCTCCCCCGCTGCCCGCTTCTTGCCTCGGGCCTGGGGTGTGTCCAGCGGGCATCTCCGCGCTCCAAAATGCTGAGCAGGAGTGGTCAGTGGTATGCAGCGGGGACTAAAGGCAGCCCCTGCTGGACCCTGTCCCCCAGGCCCCCAGCGCCCACGGCCTCCCGCGGGGAAGGGAGCTGAGCTCTGCCCTGGCCATCACCAGGCTGAGATGAGGAATGAAGGTGGGGGACACGAGGGGGAGGCGGAAACCAGGGCGCACGGCCGCTCTGCTGGCCCACGGGGCCCCTTCCCTGGCCTGAGTGGCCATTGTCCTCCAGGGGACCTTGTTCGTTCCTATGCAGCACCCCCAGAACCCGAGGACACCCCCAGGCTGGAGCCCCTCAGTCCCCAGGGGAAGGCAGGGGCTGGGCTGGGGTGGGCTTGGCAGCCCCTCGCCCAGCCTCGGATTGGAGGCGTTGCAGCGGACCCTTCGTGGTGGCCCGCCCAGGCCCCGTGTCCAGCCAGCCGCACGGTCCCCAGGGCTTCGCTTCCTGCCCCGCCCCCGGGAGGCGTCCTGCAGGCTGGTGTATTTTTAGCTCCGCCTGATGCCAGGACTGCCTTTCACCTCGGAGATCAGAGGCCTTGGGCAGCGGCCAGTGCCCTTGACCCCGTGCTTTTTCGACTGGCCAGGCATGGGGAGGCAGAGCCCAGAGACTCCTTCCTTCCTGGTGTGGCTGAGGGTGGGGGCCCGGGGGCCCGGGAGCCCCAAGAGGCGTGGGGCTCGAGCTTCGCTGTTCAGACGCGTTCTTCAGTAAAGCGAGGCTGAGGCCTGAGCAAGTGGACCGGGCCCCCCCCTCCCAGGGGTGCAGGTTTCGGGGGGGGGCGGGAGTGGGGAGCCGGTCGGCTCAGGCTGCCTTACAAAGTCCCGTAGACGCTTACTAACACTCCTGACAGTGTGGAGGCTGGCAGTCCCAGGTCAGGGCGCCGGCTGACCTGGCGTTTTTGGTGGGTCCACGCTGGCTCTTACACGCCTTCTGTATGGCTGGGAGCCTGGTCTCCCCTGGGAAGGACAGTCACACATGGTGGGGGTCTCACCCTCATGAGCCTCTAAACTGAGTCATCCCGAAGGCTCATCTCCAACATGGGCGAGGTGGGGATTACACTTCAGCACATCAACTTGGGGGTGTGGACATGGGGAAGCAGGTGGGGTGGGTGTCAGCTGGGCCTCCGGGAACAGCTAGGAAGGGGTCAGGAGGAAAAGTGAGTGCTGGGGTCTTGAGGGACAGGAAGCACTGTGATCAGACCTGGGCCTGACCTGCCCAGCGCTGGCCGGGCGGGGGAGAGGANATGGGGGAGCTGTCTGGGGGTCCCCTTGGGTTTTCAGGGTGAGGACTCATGGCAGCATGGGGCAGGGGTCAGGAAGCCGTCCTGTCCATCTTGACCCCCAGGGAGCAGCGTCGCCAGAAACCAGATTTGTGGACACAGCTCTTGTCCCATCAGAGCTCCTATCACAGAGTGAGTTCAGTGGTTCTAGAACCTTCACAGGACTGTGCCACAGTCGGTTCTAGAGCCTTCCGTCACCCTGCCTCAGCCGTCACGCCGACCGCAGCCCGGTCCCCCAGAGCTGTAACCCGAGCGCCGTCCACGGGGAGTCTTCCGGCGTGGACGCTCACACGGGCAGGTCACACACTGTGGCCCTGGCTCCCGGCTCCCCCACGGAAGGTGGAGCTTCCAGCCCCCGAGTCAGCTGCCCTGGGGCTCCGCTCCCCGCGCGGGTTGCTCCACGGCTCGGACAAGCCACGCTCCCCCGTCCCGTCCCCTGCTGCCCTGTCGCTGCTGTGGACTCAACGTGCCGGCAGGACGGCGTGCGTTCCCGTCTCTCCTGAGCGCGTGGGGTCCCTCCCTGCTAGGGTTCTCAGGCTCAGGTGACTTGCTGGGACCCTGCTCCCAGCTCTAGGGTGAGACGCGGGGCTTCTGGCCTGTGGTCCAGTGGTGGCCCACCTGCCTGCTCCCAGGGGTCTGCTCCCTGCCCACGCCCAGTGGCTGCAGAGAGGGTGGTCGGCAGGGGGCTCCAGGAGGGAGGCGCATCGCCCCGACTGGTCTCCTGACAGAGGGTGTGCTGCTCAGGCACACCTTCCCTGTCGTCTGTCCCAGGTGGATGCGCCAGTCCTCAGGACGGTCCAGCCAGCGGGTGGGGCCTTCTGGCCATCACGGATCATCCCACCGATGCCCAGGAGGAGAGAGGCTAGGCAGTGAGTGTCCCTCCACAGCCAGCCCCATCCCGCTGGCCTGGTGCCGAAGGGCCCTGCCCGAGCAGGGGTGACCCTGCAGGCGCAAGGGGGGTCCACCCCACCAGCACCGCTTTTCTCTGACTGGGTTTTCATTGCACCTGCCTTCCTGGTGAGCCCCCTGCCTGGATGGCCCGTCCATGCCTCACTGGCACTTTGAGGGGTTGCATAAAACTCTCAGGGACCTTGCGAGTGTGTTTGCCGGGACACGGGTGCGCCCCTGGCCCGGGATCTCCTATGGCAGCTTAGTTTCTGCGCAGGACCCTTCCTCGCGATAGAAAAGGGTTGTGAAGGTGCCATGTGGTTATTCCACGCAGCGACGCTCCGCTCACTGGAGACCTTTCCTGCAAACAGCCATCACTCTGCGCTCAGCCCTGGAGGAACCCTTGCTTTCTGGGTCACATACTATGCGTTTTCCCCTGAGGTATTTCATGTGTTAAGTTCTGGGTTCAAACACATTAGCTCTCAAGCAGACTAAGTCGTTTAGATCCAGTTTAACAATAACTAAATTTGGCTTTGAAATTTTAAAACAGAAAAAATTCCTGCTGGAACTCTGCATCTAAAGAGGCTACAGGGACGATCTTTCACAAGAAGGTATCTCTCTTCCTCTAGGTGTCCGTGGTTGGGTTAGTATTTCCTGGGGGTGGATGCTGTTCCACTCACCAGAGAAGCTTCTAGAACATAGGCAGACATGATACACTGATGCAGACATTCAAATACTCTCTCTTCAGAAATGACCTTTTGGGTTTAATTCCTTTGAATGTTCTGGCTGAGATTAAGCCACAAGTGCCTTCAGAGCAGAAAGAGCTGCATAAGAATTCAGATCTGTCTGCAAAGCTGGGAATGGAAGCACTGGGTGAGGCCTGGTGAGGGAGGGCCGTGAACGCAGGCGTGCGTGCACGTGCATCAGCCGTGTCGACACAGAATTGCACTTTCAGCATGATCATTCCTTCTTGCAGGCCACCGCCAAGGTGCCCACCGTCTGAAACCATCCCTGACCATGGAGCTCAGTTAGGCAGTGGTCCCCAGGAGGCCAGCTGTGAGGGGAGGCCTGAGCCTGAACCAGGAATGCTTTCCCCAGGTTCCGAGGCTCTAAGGGGGCCCCTGTGGTAACCTGGGGATAACTTTTCATATTTAATAAACTTTTAAAAATTGATAGACTTTAGGGAATTCCCTAGAGGTCCAGTGGTTAGGATTCGAGGCTTTCACTGCTGAGGGTGAGGGTTCAATCCCTGATTGGGGAATTAAGACTCCACAAGCTACACAGTGCAATAAAATAATAATAATATGCTTTGTGTTTTAGAGCAGTTTTAAGTTTCTAGAAAAATGGGGCAGAGGGTAGGAGCAGGCCCATCCCCCCACTGCGCAACCTTGTTGCTCATACCTGGCTGGGGGGGCAGGGTACATTCGTTACAACTGGTGAGCCAACTTAGATACATTATTATTAATCAAGTCCATGGTTCAGGTGGCCTCCATCTTTGAGTCCATGGGTTCTGAGAAACGCAGGTGATGTGCTCACATTACACACAGAATCATTCATTCCACCGCCGGAAAAATCCCGTGTGCTGCGCTGCTCACTAATGTTTTCAGTGAGTAAAGACAGATGCTGTCTAGGCTGGTCATAGCTTTTCTTTCAAGGAGCAAGTGTCTTTTAATTTCATGGCTGCAGTCACCATCTCCAGTGATTTTGGAGCCCAAGAAAATAAAGTCTCTCACTGTTCCCATTGTTTCCCCATCTATTTGCCATGAAGTGATGAGACCAGATGCCATGACCAACCTAGACAGCATATTAAAAATCAGAGATATTACTTTGCCAACAAAGGTCCCGTCTAGTCAAAGCTGTGGTTTTTCCAGTGGTCATGTATGGACGTGAGAGTTGGACTATAAAGAAAGTTGAGCACCGAAAAATTCATGCTTTTGAATTGCGGTGTTGGAGAAGACTCTTGAGAGTCCCTTGGACTGCAAGGAGGTCCAACCAGTCCATCCTAAAGGAAATCAGTCCTGAATATTCAATGACAGGACTGATGCTGAAGCTGAAACTCCAATACTTTGGCCACCTGAAGCGAAGAACTGACTCATTGGAAAAGACCCTGATGCTGGGAAAGACTGAAGGCAGGAGAAGAAGGGGTGACAGAGGATGAGATGGCATCCGACTTGGTGGACATGAGTTTGAGCAAGCTCCGAGAGATGGTGATGGATAGGGAGGCCTGCAGTCCATGGGGTCTCAAAGAATCAGACACGACTGAGTGACTGAACTGAACTGACCTGAAAGACACATAGGATTACAAAGGAAACCAGTTATTTTGAAATAATTATCAAAATATTAAAGTGATGCCCGGGCCCCCTGCTGACCTGGGTGAGGAAGTGGGAGCCGACGGTACAGAGGTTCAGGAGGGGGTGAGGGTGGAGCCTCGGGTTTCCTGGTGGAGACAGAGCCCGGGGCACCAAGGACAGACGCTCCTGGAGAAGGGCCTCTGAGCTCCGGTCAGAGGTCAGCAAGACTGAAGATGTCATTTGCTCCTGTCCAAGTTCACAGACCCCTGGACTGAGGATCCCTGCCCCTGGAAAACCAGCAGAAGCTGGTGAACCCCGAGAACACGGGCCAGTGGGAATAGAAACTGTGCTTTCAGAACCAAATCTCTGTTGCTTTTGGAATCACCATCTCGACAAGTAGCCAAGTGGGTCTCACGTTTCTCTGTTTGCATAGCTGGCTCCCGGCAAATTCAATTATCTTGCGTTGACAGAAAATGGGTTAATTAGGAGAAGTCGATCAGGCTTGGCAGGAGAGAGCTTGAGTAGCGCCCCGCCACACCTCAGGCACCCAGCCGCGGGATTGGAGAGCTGCTGCCGGAGCTGGGGGGGCCGCAGGGCCCTGAGCCGCCCCCAGAGGCCCTGCCCCAGAGCGCCCTGTCACTGCGACTCCTGGAGCGCCAGGCACCCGGATAAATGGGGCCATGCCAGCTCAGGGCAGGCGTGGCCGGGCCTGGGCACGTGGGCTGTGGGGATGGACATGCCGGCGCGGGGGTCAGGCGGCGGCGCCTTCGGAGCTTCTGGGAGGAGTCCATTGGGCGGGACAGACGAGCCTCCAGACGGCAGCCTTTCGAGCATGGTGGCCCTGTGGGCAGCATCCCCGGGTGCTCAGGGCCTCCACCCACTGCCCCAGGACTGGCTGGGGGCCAAGGCAGCGGGCTCCCCAAGTCCCTCCACTGCTGTGGGAGTCGGGGACTGGGCCGGCCTGCCCAGGCCCCCGCAGTCAGGCTACCACTTGTGTGGTGGGTGACCTGTGCCCCAGGGGCCAGACACCCAGCCTCTCACCCTTCCTTAGGGGTGGCAGCCACTGTCCACATGGCATCTGGCTCTGGGCTGGCGGGCAGGCTGTGATGGAGGCCCCCCTGGGGGAAGCCGGGGCCCACCAGGCTTTCCTTGGGGGCTCTTCTGAGCACCCGCCTGCCCCCACTCCTGCCTCAAGGCGGGCCTGGCAAAGGTGGTCCCACTTGCCAGTCAGCAGGTGTCCTAGCCAGCCAGGCCCCCAGGGGATGGGTCTTCTGAGTGAGGGGTTCTTTCCGGGGTCCGAGTGGATCCTACTGGGCTTCTGCGTGTCTGTACGATGGCAGGGTGGCCTCGGCCACCAGGTGCCCTCCTCCCGGAGGGTGGGCTCCACACTCAGCGTCTCACCCGCAGCCTGATGTCCTCAGAGACATGTGGAGGGTGCCCTCTGCACATCGGGCCGGACTGGGGCCTCTCCTTCCCCCGACCCTGCCCTGCCTGGCCTCCGTCAGCATGTGGACCCCCAGGGTGCGTGGGGGCCGATGGGGGCCCACTGCCAACGTGGGTCTTGGAGGTGGTCCCTCATCTGGTCCCAGCGCTGCCCTGGAAACTGGCTCCAGTCCCCACCCTCCATCCCTAGAGGGGCCCTGCTCATGGAGGTCAGACCCACGACGAGCTGGGACTCCCCAGCTCCGTGGTCCCTGTCCCACCCCTTCAGCTGGGCCACTGGACTGTCAGCCGCTTGCTCCTAGCAGTGCTCTGTCTCCAGGAGAGCAGCCTCCTCGGGAAGACCTTCTGCTGTGGGGACGTGGGCTGGGCGGCCTGGGTGGGGCGGGGCGGGAGGGGGTGAGTACCCAGGGCCTTGGGCTCCCGGGTCCCTGGCGGGCTGGGCTGGCCTCCCCACAGCGATCTCGGGGCCTGCCCCCTGCCCGCCAGGCCCCTTCCGCTCATGGGCTTCTCACCTGCCAGCAACCTGTGCCCACCTGCAGCCCAAGTTCCAGGCGGGCTCCGGGGGCTTGTCTGGCGCACACTGGAGGCCCTGGAGACCGAGCATGCGGCGACAGTGACAGCGTTTCCTAGGAAACCGCAGCCAGCCAGCTGCAGGCCCGCTGGCCTGTGTGGGCGGGGCGGGGCCGTGTCTGGTGCGGGCAGGGGACCCCAGGCTGGAGGGGCGTGGGCACCCGGGCCTCCCCACGGCGGGCGACCGGGGCCTGCCCTGATCCCCTCCTCAGGGCAGGTGTGTCCCTGCAGAGTGTGAGCCTGGATGTTGTGTTGTGCGTGTGCAGGTCTGTGTGGGGTGTCTGCATGAGCCTGTGTGATGGTGGGTCCCCGTGGAACATCCGAGCATCCCGGCTCTGCGGGGGTGTCTCGGGGTGTCTGAATGTGGGTGTGGGTCGTGGCTGCGTCTCTTCGGGCCTGGGGTTCAGGCAGCAGCCTCAGGCACCAGCATCAGGCCCACCCCCTCCCCACCTGACCGGCAGAGGCCTCGGGCCCCCCACCCTCGCCTGTTGGAAAGGGCAGCAGGGCCGTCCCGCCTGGCCCGAGAGAGTGGCCCTCTGTGGCGGGGTGGCTGGAGGAGAGAAGCTTGGGGGGCGGGCGAGGACCGAGCTGCTTGTCAGAAGGAGGTGGAAGGCGCCTGCGGACCCGAGTGGTCCTGGAAGCCCCCTGCCCGCAGCTTCCCGCCGGCCACTCCCTGCCCCGTCCCTGCCCAGCCTCCCCTGGCCCATGGCTGGTTGAGGTCGCACGCTCAGGGCCTGGAGAGCCCAGCTCCTGGGGCCACCACAGGCAGAGCTGGGCACAGCTGCCCCTGGGGGTCCTTTCGGCCCCGAGATTGTGCAGAGAGGTCAGTGACTCCCAGTCTGCCTACCCTTGGGGGCCCCCAGAGGAGCGGGTGTCTCCTCACAGGGAACCCACCACCCCTCCCTGGGGCTCCAGGCAGGGCACAGCGTTGCTCGGAAACCCGGAGGCCCTGAGGCCTCAGAGCCTGAACCTCATTAATTCATTCATTCCTTCCTCCGACCACCCCTCCAGCCCCTGGGGCCCCAGGCCCCAGGAGAGCGCAGGGCACCTGGGGTGGCCGCTGGCTCCTCGGCTGTCAGCCCCAGACATGCTTCTCTGAGCGCGGGACTTCGGGGGAAGTGCCTTGGGAGGCAGGAATCAGCCCTCTCTGGGAATCGCAGGGACTTCCTGGAGGAGGCAGGCTTCAGGCTGCCGCTGAAGCAGTGGTGGGAGGTAGCTCAGTGAGGCTGGCTCTAAGGAGGGGTAGATTGGCTCAGCCAGAGTGTGGGGCCGGGGGGGGGGTCCTCTCAATCCTGCCCAGACGTGGTCCTGCACGAGAACGTGCGGGTGGAGGTGAGTCAGGCCGAGGTGTGGGCATCTGGGCCCTGGAGGAGCATGGCCTGGGCCTGGGGGTGGGGGGCAGGGTCTGGGGGGTCTGCGATTGGGGCTGCCCTGGCAGCTGTGAGCGTGGGCTGGGGCAGAACTGGGGGCCTCCCTGGGGGTGAGCAGCGTGGGGCAGCTGACAGGGGCTCACCCAGCCCAGGAGTGAACGCGGGCGGCCCCAGGTGCCCCGTCACCCCCATCCTGAGGTCTACCCAGGTGGGCGGTGTTGAGGGGGTGCTGGGCCTAGCTCCCGTGGTCACTAAAGCAAGTACCCGTGGCCTCTGCTCCCACTCCCTACTCCAGGAAGCAGCCCAGCAAGAGCCCCCATCCCCTGGGAGTGTGGATGGGGCAGAGCAGGGAGGCCCTGCCAGGCCCAGCCCCAGCCAGCGGCCCCCCAGAGGTCCTAGACCCCCAAGGATAGGGATCAGCCCCAAGGCCAGGGCTGGGGTGCTCTGAGGGGTCCCCTGTGCTGGGTGCACAGAGACAGTGGCCCCAGGGAGCCCCCCGGACAGCAGAGGTGTGGCCACGGCCCTGAGTCCACCCCCAGAGAGAAGGGCTGTGGGGTGGAGAGAGCCGAGCAGGGCAGAGGGGTCCCGGCCAGTGGGGGCCAGCAGGCTTGCCTCCCGCTCACTGCCAGCTCC